AAAAAAAATAAAAAATAAAAATCAGGTGCAGGGGTACAAAAAATAGGAGGGGGGGGGGGGATAAACAAAAATACAAAAAAAAAAAAAGAGGACAAAATAAAATCACACACTCATCGTCATGTTGGGTGAATACTGAAAAGAGAGAGAGGGAAGGGGGAGGAGGGCACAGATGAGTGGATATGTCACCGACAACATTTAAACACCAGAGGGCGCTCAAACCCAGCCCTGCAAAGCTAGAGGAAGCACAGGCTCAGGATCCAGGCAGACTAATACACCTGACTCAAGTAATCGATACTATCAATGAATAATCATATTTCTGATGATTAGGGTTGATGTTGAACCGTAATACTTTTAATGGTACAGAGCGTCACAAACATTATTCATAGCTTTGTTTACTTGTTCTTTAAACCAGAAATGTAATTTTTAATTTAATTGGGCAAAGATCTTGTACAGCTGCATGTTTTTAATTAACATTTAAAAAACTTCAAGAATTTTCCTCAAAGTAAGAAACTGAACTTTGGTGCTGGCATCAAAACTCTCTACTGTTGTTTCTAAACGGCTTTAAGTTCACAACAATTAGAACGTTTTCCAGCCGACTGGTTGAATCAGGGTATTAGGGCTCGACTATAATTCCAGCCTGTGCACCCCGTAGCTCTCCAGGCCGAGGGTAAGAGACCGTCACAATCTTACACAATGCAAGGAACAACAGTACCCCCCTCCACCTGTTGTGCACCAAACAGAAAACTAGACTGACAATCGCTTCAGCATTAATTTGTTCTTTGGCGGAAAAATGTAAATAAATGAATAAATAAATGTTCACTGAAATCACTGATACAGAGGGTATACAATGAATTGTTAAGTGATTAGTAAGCGGCTACAATGCAAGCAGAACATCAGATAGTCTTCACAGCTTATAATTTTTTTTAACGCTGTTGTGCGCTTCGGGAACAGATTTTCAAATTTATAGTGCTCTGTCCCAAGCATTAAGAGTATTCTAAGATTTGTTTTTAAGTTAGAGTTAAAACTTGGATGTCCTCACAGGTCTGCTCAGCTTCTTGTAACAGAGCTGAACTGGAAATCCATTTCAAAATGATGTCTACAGCACTTCTTATACGCCTTTAATTAATGAGAAACAAAGTAGGGCGTCCAGAAAAGGAAGTGTAAGTTGAAAAGTAACACTGCTATCCCTCTGCTCAAATATAAAGTGTCAGATCGATCAATATAGGTAAAAAATGAAAGGGACAAGACACAAACTTTACCAGGACATTATCAATAATCTGAAATCATCACGCAAACCCTCTGCTTGCATTCTTCCACTGGTTTATGTCAGGACGTCAAGGATAACTGTTAAGGGTTGTGAGATGTCATTCACCCGCTCTACTTACACTTTCGCTTTGGAATGGGTTCAAGAAGTTCCCGCCCATTTCGCCGTCATCTCTCGGCGTTCCAGGAGGGTTGTTCATGCCCCCCATGTTATTAGGGGAGCTCTGGAGGAGGGAAAGGGCAAAGAAAATGGATGAGACTGCTTCTTAAAAACAGTATCACCAAAGTGCAGGAAGTAAAGATTCTAAATAAATGTTTTCATTTAGAAGAAGCTCAGCTAACGAGGAGTTTATTGAAAACATTTATTTTTACTCACCTTTGGCAACCCATCCATATCCCCAGACCCTGAGGAAGTGAAAGGAGAGAAATAGATCAGTTGTTGTTTTTTAAACAAAGAAAAAAAACTGTTTCAGTTGTACAAGTATCAGCTAAAGTCTGTTTAAACCCACCTAGTGATCCATTCATGTGGTGTGGCTCCATGGCTCCCATTGCTCCCATTGGCCCATCAGGCCCAGGTCCCATAGGGAACTGGCAAAAAGGTGTAGAACAAGGCTTATAAAGACCGCAACATTATTTTTCACGTTTGACCTCTTTCAAACAACTGTGGTCTTTTCAGCTCGGGGTGAAGTACAGATTATTTAATTTATTCTGCCTGGTTCATTTCCTGTCGATTCTTACTGAGCTCAGTGTGGCGGCATTATGTTTCTGGAATACTGAATTGTACTGGTGCCCAGTGATGTGGTTATAAACCCTATTTGAGCTGGAGTCGTTTTTGTGAGCAAGGTTGTGCAATTAATCTTTACAACAACATCCACGATTTTAACCCAGAATCAATCTGCAGTGTCTGAAACTGTTACAAAGCTGGAAAGTTAAACACTTCAAATGCCAGAGCTTTTTGTTAAATAACTATGTGAACTTAAATTGTGTGAGACTCACATTGGGTCTGTTGCCTCCTGGTCCGATAGGATTCATCATTGTGTAGATGTTTTCACTGGAGTTTGTTGAATCTAAGGAAAAACAAAAACTTTAGTTACATGATATTAGAGAGAGTCATGAATAACAAATGTTTTATCAAACAATAACATAAATGGTGAAATGAAATAAACTGATGTGAAAAATGAGAACACTTTTTGGTGAGGGGACACATTCATGCTTGTTTAGTGAGGAAAGATGGAAGAGACATCTATTTCAGAGACTAGTGTTAGTGCTGGGGACATAGTTAGGTGACGCACCACCTGGGCTGGGCATGATGGGAGTTCCAGGTGGACCTCCTCCGCCTGGAGGACCCTGGGGAACAATCGATGATAGAGGTTAAAATAACATTCATCAGTAATACAATAAAATGTGCACTCAGAAGAGCTGCTTTGCTTTTGATAGATTTTAACTCACCACGTAGTTCCCTGGAGATGAGGAGGAGTACGCTATCTGCAGGGGGAAAGAGGAAACAGGTTATCAGATCTGAGGGTCAGAGGATACTGAATGTGAATCTATACAGCGTGAACAAAATAAGAGTTTACAATCCAATAAAATACCACAAACAAATAGCGTATATGTGTTCAGACTGAAGCAAGGAGGTGTTTCAACTCTTTAGCTAAAGTGAATCTCTCTTTGAAGTCCCTAAAAAAAAAGACTGATAAGTCATTTTCCTCAAAAAATAATCCTGATATTTGTGCAACGACACAACAAATTAGAGTTTCCAACAGAGCAAAATCAACACTTCTCTGAGCAGCTAAAAGCTGAATATCATAAGCACAACATTTGTGTTTTGCTTTGTTGTACACTGCATTGCACTGCAGGTTGTTCCCTCTTTATTAGCCCACCACCTATATGTGGTCATGCGTAAAGGTCAAGGGTTTCTGACTCACAGAGTTAGCATTAGGTCCTGGCCAGGGCCCTCTTCCTCCGGGACCCCTAAGGCAAAAAGAAAGAAAGAAAGAAATAAGGTTAGAGAGAAAATGACAGAGAAATGAAAATGTTGCGAGAGAAAGGAAACATAACCAACTCTTATTGGTGTCTCAATGCAGGTTAAAGAGTCATTATATTTCCCCAGATAGATGAGATTTAACTTACATGTTCATTCCTGGCATGGGACCACCCATGGAGTTGGGAGGAGGCCTCATACCTCCATAATTCTGTAAGAACATTCAACAAGACCTGATTATGGACTCATCTATATCCTTGCTTTTCTTGATTTTTGCGATTCTAATTCTTAGAACTGTCTTGGAATTTGCCTTTTTGTGCCTAAAACAAACAACAAGAAACAAGCCTAAGCAAACTCTTTAAAGTACACTTTGTGGTTTCAGGTTATTCGTACCTGTGGGCCCATGGCCATTCCTCGAGGAGGGTTCATTCTCATTGGTCCACCCATGTTAGGATGTCCTGTAAGAACAGATCCACAGAGTCACACACTGATTGCAACTCACTACACGTAACACACAAGCGCTCATGTTAATCCACATATGGCTCGTCTCTTAAAGTCAGGAATTAAGACGTGCCACAGACAATGCTTCATCCTAATCTCATTAGTTCTAACCCCCCGGGGCCCCTGAAACTTATCTGCAGCTAAAATCACTACGGACATCTTCCTGAGCCAGACACACCCACAATTGTTCAATCCACACAGGGAAGAAGAACCATTGAAACTGAATTTGTACAAAAATCCAAGTAGATGGGTGAAGTTTAATCCTGAAATGACTAATAAATAAATTAACTTAACTAACAAATCAACTGAGAAAATGTATCAGAAACTGTAATAATTGATCATTCGTTTTAAGTAATGGGGCAAACAAAAATGCCAAATATTTGTAGGTTCTAGCTTCTCCAATATGCAGGTTTTGCAGTTCTTCTTAATCTCTCATCATTATGAGCTGAATCCCCAAACACACATTTTGAAGTCGACCTCTTGGGCTCTGGGAATTAGTGATAGATCTTATCTTCGTCCAGGGTTTCTCCAGGGTGCACCAAGCTATATTTATATTCTAAGACATTTTTAAAACCCCAGTAGTAGTAGTAGTAGTAGCAGCAGCAGCAGCAGCAGTAGCAGTAGTAGTAGTAGTAAGAAGAATCTATAGTCAGATTACTGTCGGTACTTCTCAGCTGTATAATAACTCCTAATAATATAATTAAAAATCATTAAACACAACCTGACAAGCAACAGAAAGTGGATAGATAGATTAACCAATTTGAAAATTATTGATTTAAGGTCAACATATGAATTTTACAAAGGTCAGAGGACTGGAACAACAGCTCTGGGGATTTCTCAGCCTTTTTTCCCCCAAAATCACACAAATATTTTATTAGTAATGTTTATACCAGCAGGAAAAACCGACATCAGTTCTTTTCTGCTGAAAATTTTCTGACATATTATAGACTAAAAAGTAATTGTTTAGTTGAAAAATTACATAATCTTACAGTCATAATCTATAACAGACATCATTTACCACACAAAATAAACATTTCAAGAAACCCAAACTCAGAATTTCAACAAGAGGTGTCCCAGTCTTACCTTGCGGCCTTGTCGGGTCCAAACTGTTTGGCAGGAGAGGCTGAGAGCCAGGGATTCCTCCTGGAGGCTGAAAAGAGACCACAAACTTTAATACTTGCTCTCAACATTTGTCAAACATTTACCAAAAAAAAAAAAAGTGAGTGAGAAATGGCCCAAAAACTGCTCAAGTACCTGATTTGGCATTCGGAGTGCGGGGCGCGGTCCACCTGGATACCGTGGTGACATGAATGGCTGTGGAGAGAAATTGAGGAAAGGAGGGGGGGAAGGGGGAGGCAAAAGAGGGACACAGAGAAAATGACATTTTTCATTATTGATAAATCCAAGAGCACTCAAACAGGGGAAGCACTGAGGACACACAGATGGACACAGTGTGGTTGGAGAATGAGGATGACACTGAAAGACTGCAAATTCATTAGCACATCCGCCTGTAAACATAAAAAATAAACCCTTAAGCAAGAGTCTGCGTTTAATGAATTTTAACAATGCCTGCTTATACGCACTCTCAAAACATGGATTTCTGTGTGTGTGTGTGTGCATGTGTAAAGACAGCGCTCACACAGCTCCCTGCACACCCCTGCCTGCTCTCACTGTGGTGTAAGCTGATTCGGCCTGTGGTCTGCCTGGCGTAGTTAGAGACACCTCAGGCCAACAACACCGTCCAAAACCTTAGAGGAAGCATGTCCACACTCTCTCGCACACAAGACGGAAACCAGAAACCACAAGAATGAAGAGCCGGGCTGCCGCAGTTAATGGGCAAAGGCTAGCTTTACCTCCACAGTGTCATCTGTAGCTACTGTTCTGGACAAGTGTTGAAACACACGCCGACAGAGAATGAAAGTTTTTAGTTTAGTTTTAAGGCTGAATATACTAAATATGTTTTTATTCAGTTGGCAGCTTGGGTAACTTTAAACTCCAAATGTGTTACATGTGTGTGAAGTGGGTGCATATATGTGTACCCATGTGTTTTATACGTATATGTGACGTATCCATAGTGCCTCTCCCCTGTTTTATTCATAAGGTGCAAGAACAAGTATCAGAGTGGAGGGGAGTGTGCGTCTGTGCATGTGTGTGTTAAGAATGGAGGAGCAGATAAGTGCGCAACCCCCCACAAACTGCTCCGGGGGTGGGGCACGGAGTGAATTATTCATCCCACACGGGGGCAGCCGATTCTGGGCCTTGGTGAGGAGCGGGCCCTGCTGCCTCTGGATGCTCTGCTTTCATAAAGGAGTTGGCAACTGGAGGGGGCTGACATCTACAAGGAGTTAGCCAGAACAAAACTAGAGCTAACGGGGCTCGAGGGTAGGAGAAGAAGAAAGTGTGCGAGTAGTGAATGGAAAGAAAAAAAGAGCTTGTGTGTGGGCAAGGGGGTGGTGGTGGGAGATTCAGAGGGAATGAAAGAGAGAGGGGTGTTTGAGAGAAAGTGTTTGCGTCTTACCTGGCCATGGGGTCCCATCATGGGGTTGCTGGGGTTGTGTGGGGGGGGCTGTGCGTGGGGGGACTGCTGAGAGCCGGGCGGTCCCTTTAAGAAAGAAGAGCGATATCAGAGAGGGGATGGGCCAAGAGGGTGGGGGGGTTACATCTGGAGGAATTACCCGGATCAAAATCAACAGGGGGGG